AAGGGTAGACACTTAAATAGGATTGCAGGGCGCCTTTAAGAGTGAAACGCGATAGCCAAACATATAAATCTCCGCTCTTTCCCAAGAAGTGCAATCCCTATTCGGTAGCCTGTCTGGCTCACAACCCAAGGGCCGTGGAGTCGAATGCCGCCTCCGCCTAAAATTCTTATTTTGTTTTGTTCAGGCAAACGAATTACTTTATAAAGCGAAATTATTTGAGATTTGCGGCGAACTTCAATTCTCATTGCATGCCATGCTTTAATCACTTTCATTCCACGCGTGACGTCACGTTTCACGTGTGCGTTGTGGGTTGTCTGAAATTTTCGCGCGACGTCATGTGGCTGTGACGTCATGACCCTTTCCACCAATCAGGGTTTTCACGTCCCGCCGACACCAACGCCGATGCTGACACCGAAGCCGACGCGGGCTTTTCTGCGACACGAGCTCCTAAACGCTATTCCGTTAATAATCACTATATTCACCGCAGGAGTCAAGAAGGGTGAAGGCATCTCAGAATGAATTGTATAATATAGCGCTTAAAAGATTTCTTTCTGAAGCGCCCGGTACGGTTTGATGATGCTGTGACACTGATCTCAAAATCGATCAAGATCGCTTTGAAAATTTCCTTTTTCTTCTGTTTTTCCTTATGACGATGGAGCGGCGCCAAGTTTCAGTACTTCTTCGAATAGTCCTCATATCAAGAAGAAAAATACACGAGGAAGGTGTTTTTAACGTTTTACTTAACATCGATATGAAGAATTAAAAGTTCGGGGCAAGATAGAGTTCCAAACAAATTAAACAAAAATACACTGAGTGGGTATATAAATCTCTTACCTTGATTTTCCAGTCATCTGACAAAAATGTTTATTTTCCAAGTGCATGTAAACATTAAAAGATCATACCAGTTCACAAAAATGGGAGTGCTTCAGACGTCAGTAACTATCGCCTCATTTCACCCACTAGCATCTGCTCTAAGCTACTTGAACATTTACCATCTAAACACTTAATGTCTAATCTTGAAAATTTTAAAATGCTTTTGCCATCTCAACACAGCTTTAGCAGAGGGCTTTCCACAACATACCAGCTGATCGTAACAGTTCTCGACCTCTCAAAGGCTATACATTTCCGTGGTCAAACTGATATAGCGTTTGATAAAATGGCATATTCAAAACTGGTACTAAGAATCAGCTAAAGTAAAAATAAAAAAAAAAAACAGTCATCACGGAATGGGTGTCGCTTTTATTTTCCTTTCGCGAGCAGTGTGTGAAAGTTGAATTGCCTGAAATTAGCCTTTCACAAGTGGATTCAGGTATACCCCAGTGGGCACTGGGCTGTATTAGGCACCCTTCTATTTTTTATTTTAGAGCGCAGCTCTTAGGCGCCCGTTTCCGGCTTTAGCGGCGTCGCCGTAACCGCGCGGTGCATTATGGGTAAATTTCCCCGCTAAATTTAGGGGAAAAATTTCTCCGCTACATCTAGCGGAAAATGTTTCCTGGCTAAATCTAGCGGAAAAGTTTCCCCGCGAAATCTAGCGAAAAATATTTCTCGCTAAATTTAGCAGAAAAATTTCCCCGCTAAATCTAGCGGAAAAATTTCCCCGCCAAGTCTAGCGGAAAAATTTTCCCGCTAGATGTAGTGGAAAAACTTCCCTGCTAAATTTAGCGGAAAAATTTCTCCGCTAAATCCAGCGGAAAAATTTCCCCGCTAGATCTAGCGGAAACATTTCTTCGCTAAATTTAGCGGAAAATTTTCCCCTTAATGGGAGGCGAGCAGGAGAGGAGGAGGGGCATAAATTTTTATCCGTACCTTCCCCTCCTCCTCCTCAAGAGCTGCGCTCTAAATCGGCGTTACAGGGAGTTGTAAACGGCTTCAATTTTTATACATAATTTGCACAACGTCATTTTAGTACCAATCAAGCTAATTGCTGACGATTGTATTATTTGCAATAATGTAGAAACCCCGGATGATCAGGTGGAGCTAAATTGCGCTCTAAATAGAATAAAGAAAACTGCTGTGAGCAATAGCAAACTGTGCTGAATCAAAAAAAAAAATTGTCTGTATGTCACTAACTAGAAACAATAATTTTGCATTATGAATATAGCATGGATGTTATTGGTGGCGTGTGCGAACTATAGGGGGCGCTTTCCAGCTAGCATCATCATCGTTTGTGACGTAAGCAGTAGGACTGGTGGGTGCCTCGTTCTAGGTCGGCCGCGCTACGCTTTGGTGCTCGGGTGGTTGCGATCGTTCCTTTTGAAGTTTTCTAGACGCGGCAAAGGTTGTTTCACGCGTTGTCCAAGCGCCGAGATGGTGGTGTACTGCTCGGTACCGCAGTGCAACACCTACCACGGTGAGACGGGCGCAAGTTTTTATTATTATCCGCGCGACAGGGAAGTCAGAAAGCAGTGGCTCACCAAGTTGAAAATGGGCAAGACGAACTCGAAAAGCTCTCGCTTATGTAGTAAGCACTTCGATGAAAGTGACTTCGTGTACCCTGTGGGCTACAAGATGCTCGGTGAGTGATATTCTATCATTAGTTTCGAATTCACTTCTTTCTGTGCTTTGCAAACGAGTAAACAAATGTATTCCCTCAACAGGCTGGAAGAGGCGGTGGCTGGCTCCTGGAGCCGTTCCAAGTAAATGCTTGCCTATCCGCCCATTTGACGCGAAACGGCCGAAACCAATTCCGCGATCGAGACCTGGAAGAGGGAGTAAGTCACTGATAATCGGTACTGAATCAAGAAGGGGGTGGGGGGCGGGGAAGGGGGGGGGGGGGGGGAGGGGGGCAGCGCGGGCCATTGTTTTTAATGCCAAGAAAAAAAAAATCTTGTGCCCCCCTCTCCTTCCTTCCTTTAGCCCAGGGCCCCCAAATTCGTTAATTCGGCCGCCCTGCTGATATTTAATCGTTAAGAAGCTGTCGTACACCTGCTACGAATTATTCTGGTCGTTCTTTTTGCGGACCCGACTGTTTTAAGCAAGAAGTGTGGTATGCTTTTCCCAGCAAGAGCTTTTAAGTTTATAATCTATCTTCGTCTAAAAATTAATAAACCATTTGCTAATTTGTTGGGCCATGTCCGGCAGTTAATCAAGTTATATGAATCTGCAGGGCATAACACTTCTTAACCTTCGCGTACAGTATGGAGAACCTCTTATCTAGCTGTGTGTCACCTGAATGGCAGCGCAGGCTAGCAGCAGAATCTTATCTCTGCCGCGTAATTTCGCGAGGTTTGTCAGTTGACAGTAAATTAATTGCCTCAGTGTGCACCCTCGACAAAGCGTGATGGTGGAGTATGCCTGAGCCTTAACACACAGTCCCTCTACATATGATTTCCAGCCAGTAGAGGTCCTACTACAAGTGTTGCTGCAACAGGGGTGGCTCCGGATACAAGTGCCGACATGACCGAGGAAGCAACAATCACAGGTGTGTTGAATACTGCAGTTGTCTTTGTGCATCAGTGTCGCTGAACGAAGCCATAAACCTACCAGGTGGTTAGTCATATTACTGTAGTGTAGTCTATGCCATAGCTTGTCTAGCTTTTAGGCAGCTACGCTGTGGGGAAGGTGGGGGCTACGATTTGTGAATCATGTCATTTGATATGCCTCCAACGCACAAATGCTCAAAACCTATACTCGGTGTACTTGCACTTGTGTTTGGCTGCACTCTCACGCAGCAGAAACAAATGCCAAAACTTCAGTTTCACTATTGAAGCACATGCGAACGCAACTAATTTGCATTTTTGATCTGTGTTGTGCTTGTCTTCCTAGAAACATAGATAAGGCATTGATTCTCCATTTAATTTCAACGAGCAGTTTCATTCGCTGCAGATTGCCAGAGTCCTGGAGCTGAATGCGAGGCCGATGCCGACCCTGCCACAGTTGCAGCCGCTTCCGGACTGGCCCACTTTACCAGTGCTGGTGTGGACAGCGCAGCAACCATCATGGGTGTGTTTCGTTTGCCTTCACATTTGTAGTAGTCATTGGCCTGGTACACAGCACACGCTCCTCTGCAGCATTCTAACCATGGTGCAAGAAGAACCTATTTAGGTGATGATGCTATCCGCATTCCTGTGGAAGGAGTGCGTCTGCAAATGCTTTGCATCGAGATGTGGAGAGGGCTGCTTGCTTCCGAGCAATCGCGAGCCACCGTTTTTGGGTGCCATCTAACTTTGTCAGAAACAAGTGGCAGGCACGCACCAACCTTGGCCGCTAATCGGTTCTGTGCGCCTTGGCACCTTTCTTGAGCTCTGAAAGATGGCGCCCTAATATGGAGGCAAGCTTATACAGCGCATGCCCAGCGGCGAACACAATCTGGACGGCCACCTAAATGGGTTCTTCGTACACCGACGAAGGTAACTCGAAGAGGGTCGGAAGATATAACACTGTTATCATCGTCTGTGCTTGTATTACCACGCACATCAACGCAAGCGGGCACATAGCCTAGTGGTTACCGTGCGCGGCTTCCACGAAGCAGGCCGAGGTTCGAACCCGGGCAGCGGACACACATTTTTTTTAACGTTCTTGTAAACTCGAGAACCTTCCCTCATGTTCATAATCAGACTGTCCTATGCACCGAACTTTCCACGCCGATTGCTCGAAGGCCAGACATGTATAAGAATGGCTCTGTGTGACGAGCTGGAGTCGATCTTGCCCAAGCGCTTGACACTGCTGCTACGCCGACGCCTGCGGCGCTACTTATTATTTTGTTTTCGCACAAGTTCGCCTTATTAAACATTCAGTTTCTTTCGTTCTTTCTCGCCTCTTCACCAGTCATTCGTGACAGTATTAAAGAAATATCTACTCACACATGCTCTTTTCAAGATCGTTCCATGGCTAACAGCTGCAGAGATGACTACTTTTTCCAATCTTAAACTGTATTTTGTATGCTTGGTGATGGCATATGCATTTATTCTGTTTGATTGACAGTGGTAGCATAGGCTGACCTGAAGGGCATTAAATGTAGAGAATTACATGCACCAGATATTCAAGATACTAGTGTAAAAATGCAATATTGCTTCTACTTGCGCTATTTGCTCATGTATAAAGGTAGATGAGTAGACAGAATGTTGCAGCTTCCCCATTTTTTACTCGACAATGGTAGGGAAAAGCAGGAACCTTTGTGAATTGTGCAGGCTTCTGCATTATCGAATGTGCATATTCCGAATTGCCAACGTGAACAATTTCAGATGTTGAAGAGGAGCTGTGCCACCTCAAGCGAGATATCGGTGTTCAAGTGAACACATGGACTGAGGGGAGAAGACAACTGATTACCATCTCCACTGTTAAGGACGAACAGGCACTGGTAGTGCTAACGGGCATCTCAAGCTTGGAGCTGTTCTATAACATTGCCAACTTGTTCACCGACGCTCGGAGGGAACAGTCGAAGAGGAGCTTCTCACTTAGCAATGAGGATGTCATCTTGCTCATCTTCACCAAGCTTTACCACAATGTGTCTTTTTCGCTGCTGGCCGTCCTGTTTGACATGCACCGCACTACGGCGTCGAGTATCTTTAAGAAGGCCATTGTACTGCTAGCATCTGTGCTAGGGCATGCAATCTACTGGCCTGACAAGGACCACGTCACTGCATGCCTCACGAAGCAATTCGATAAATACCGCATGAGGAGGGTGGTCTTGGACTGCACAAAGATTGCAATTGAGCGACCGAAAGACCTGCCATCACAGATCTTAACGTACAGCATTTACAAAAAAACCTATACTGCTAAGATTTTGATTTGCACAACCCCTGGAGGCCTCTTTAGCTATGTGAGCCGTGCCTACGGAGTTAGGACCTCCGACACACACATAACCCGGGAAAGTAAAGTTCTGACCAAATGTGAGCCTTACATTGACAACGTCATGGTAGATAGGGGCTTTTTAATTGAAGACTTGTGCTATGAGCATGGGCTCGAGATGATCCGGCCACCTTTTCTTGGCCAGAAGAAGCAGCTGTCGCCTGGTGACGCAAAAAGAAATGCCAGCATTGCGAGTGCCAGAGTGCATGTAGAAAGAAGCATTCAGCGCATTAAACGCTTCAAGATCCTGCAGCAGCGGTTCCCACTTGATCTGCTTGCATACCTTGACAGCATTGCCACTACGCTTGCAGGAATTGTAAATATCTCGAAGCCACTGTTTGCAGACGACAAATATTTGTTTCCGTGAAAGCTGAGTTCCATGCCAGCGATACGTTTTCTTTTACTTTTAGCTTCTCAGTAACTTTTGCTTGAAATACAGTGATAACAATAAAGTTTGGCGTCAACTTCTACGAGCTTTTTGTTTTGTGCATGTTCACTGCCCAAGACTCTAGTCAAAGAAACTGAATTCCAAATCGAAGAAAACGGGTGTAATCACTGATCCCATGATGGAGGCACGCAGCTTTCACTGATTGTGGGATTCAGGAACAATCGATTATGCTTGTACCAGTGGGAAATGAGTGACATGATCCTGTATAATAACATAGTCTAAAAGGACAGAAGACACTTAAACAACTTGACATCATAAGTGAAGATGAGCAGCTGAGCGTAAGAGGACCAAGGATTGATCATTTGGTCCTGTTAGCGGGTGACAAGTCTAACAGCGTAAGTGAACCAGGTACATAATTCTAGACATGTACCATAAAGAATAATTTGCACAAGAGCAATATTTAACTCGTAAAACACCTTTGACATATCAAAATAGTTTTCATCTACTTGTCCTTTACTCATAACATATAACCCACAGAAGTCTAAAACATTTTAAACAAAAAAGGCATCTGGGTGTACACAATTTTGAGAACACCTTAAAACAATTCATGAAACAGGGAAGTGGGATGACTGTTAATAGTACGTGCATCATAACTTTTTAAGATTAAGACAACCACTTTTCCAGTTGCGACTGTTGTGATTGCGTGAACAAATGACATGCAAGGTTCCAAAACGGTAGAAAGACGCCCCAAGGTAATGTCTTCAATGAGTGGCCACATACTGTGCAAAACCAGTGGGTGCAAAGCGCACTGAAAACAATGACTGCAGAGAAACATAAAACGAAGCAGTGCTGATGCTGATCCGAAATTTAAATGACAAAGCAAGGCTGGAGCGATAGGCGGGATGCTACACGCTCCAAAACATCGCTCATGCAGCGCTATCTCAAACAGATGGCCGTATTTTTGGAAAAGAAAGGCACGACTGAATGAGGCCGATGAGACATCCCCTCTACCCTTCGCTTCGTCTCCTTGAGGAGGTGAACTGAAGCAAAGAGGAGAGAGGCGTGGCCGCTTGCTCTCATTCTCAACAGTTCGGGGAGAATCGCAATGTCACATTCCTCCTTCAATGGCACCCTTATTTTTCCTAACATATGGCAAGGTGTTCGAGATACTGCTGTACGAGTAATGTTGTGGGGCTTCTAGCATCCCGTTGGAACACTTCTGCAGCCTTGTAAATCCAAACTTCGGTTCATCATCCTGTTTCACAGCGCTAAATTGGTAGTCGTGTAAAATCGGAGAATTACACAAACACAGTGCATAGGAGGCTAAACCGCAGTAATAAGTGGTATCATATACTCTTTAAAGAAGAAAACTGCCCTCTCAATTACATCTCTGAAAAATACTTCATCAAAATGCACAGAAAAAAGTATGTGCGTGTGCTCGTCTTGATAGACAAAGAAGTCTGTGCTTCGAATTTGAGCAATACCCATTTGCACTTGCACCTGGCAATAATACCTGCTTGTTTCCTTAAGCATATGATTATCACTGTTCTTCATCATCTCTCTGCTCTTGAAACCTTGCATGCCATCTGTGCACTTTACTTCAATCAATCGACGTTCACAACAGTCGCAAGTGACGATCCCGTCAGGACTTGCCCCAACACATGGCTCTGACTCCATTATCAGAAGCCCGCTGTCTTGGATCGTGAGGTTGGCGTGGGTTGACTCCTGCAAGTACTTCCTCTTGGCAGTGCTTTCGTCTTGCGACCCTCTTACCATTGCAGCTGACTGAAAGGTCGACTCTCGCATGAGGACCTTGAACAAGGGACGCAAATCATCGGGACCCATTTTTGTCCTCAGGGTCTTCATCCTCGTGTAGACGCTGTAGGCCACAGATGCACTAATCAGACCAGTCCTGTATTCCATCCAAAGCGGCGATTCTGCTTGTTGGATGGTAAGTGTGGCAATCTCTTCCACAACAACCTTTGAAAACATTTCTTGGAGGGCTTCGTAGAAGCTGTCATCAGATGCTTGATTATCTCTGCTCATCATTCTTAATGCCTCGGTTAGTGTCGCTGGCCTCTGAGGTGGGGATGGCGACTCCTCTGGGCTCGATGCACTGAAAAGCTACAAGACAAAATCATGACACAACTTTATCCGTCCCAGCTTCTCGCAGAGGTACGTCATTGTCAAGCAGTAGGATACATCCCACTTGAGAGAGGGTTCCATTCTCGGTTTCTATTTTGAGTATTTCAGCATAATTAATTTATATATGTTTCAACAAGATTTATCGAGTCCATATGAAAGCGAATGCAGCACGTCACAGTTAGTGGTTTTACCAATGAGGCTCGACTATCGGTGAAAGGAAACAAGCAAGCTCGATTGCTGGTCCTTCAAATTAAAGCATATCTATGTGTGGCAGTAAATTCATTGCATACCTTGAGGGTCAACTGTTCCTAACATTAGGCTTTCCCACCTCCCATCCCTTATATAGATAAAGCACCTGGGCCTCTACGGGTATATGATGGCTTACCTAGGGGCTACCACCAGCACAATAATTGAAGATCTTGGGTGAAAATTATTACTTCGCAATTTTTGAGCTAAGCAAAGCAAAGGAAGTTTTCACATTCTGCGTCACGGAAAAAGACAAAAAGAATTGTGGCGTTCTCATGAAGAAGCAAATACCACGAGGATAGGAGATTCGGCGATGACTGAATAGGACGGGTGGGCTTGGCTGTGACCTGGAGATCAGTGACTCTCAGCAACAAGCTGAAGAGCGACAAGGAATTTCCTGTACCTACCCATTCCCGGCGCTGACCCGAACGGACACTGTGAGGAACCTCTGCACCCCCCTACTCTTGGCAATGATCCGAGGCAACCCAAAGCATGACCAGGGTCCCTCCCTTCACACAGTGACAAGGACGCACATCCATCAATATAGGTTAACTTCCGTTGAAACATATTCACTGAAGTGGTCGCCTGAACGATGAATGTGAGTACCCACATCTTGTAGATATGTAAATACTTGAGCGCTGACATGTCATATTTGATTACTATACATTTATTTACTCTTCCAACTACATGCATACTTTTCTTTCACTCTTGTGGTTGGCCAGAGTAAATGTATATTAATAAATATGACATATCAGCGCTCAAGTATTTATATATCTACTAGACATAGGTAAATTCTCACATATATCGTCCAGATGACCACTTCAGCCAAGATGTTTCAGCCGAAGTTAATATATACTGCTGGATGCGCGTCCTTGTCACTTTGTGATGGGACCCTTGCCGTGGTTCAGGTTGCCTCGGGTCATTGCCGAGAATTAGGTTGGTACAGAGATTCCTCCCCGTGCCAGTTCGGGCCACTGCCAAGAATGGATACGTACAGGAAGTTTCTTGTCGCCTTTCGGGTTGTTGCCGAGAGTCACTGATGCTTCTCCTGGTCATAGCAAAGTCTACCCGTCCTATTGGTCATCGCCGAATCTCCTGTTCTCGTGCTTTTCGCTTCTTCACAAGCATATCGCACTTCTTTTTTGTTTTTTTCCCTGACGCGGAACGTGACGGGCGCTTACCCATTATTCAGAATGATCCAAGTTAATCTATCCTGCAGACAACACTATAAGGAGCCCATATTGGTCATGTATTTTTTTTTGTTTTCCCAACAGATTCAAAATGTTTTCAGAGTAGCTCAGAACTGGCAACGATGCAACTGTTCCTTCAAGCTGTCAATCAGTATGTGGCAGCTGACAGGCGTTCTTTACGCTAAAAGGTTTAGACTGCAGTGTAATTCCATAATATTTTTTTCATTATAGGTGACTGGTAAATGTTACGGGCACAATTCCAACAATCAAAGTAATTTGTGGACTAACCTTGTACGGGAATTTCCTCGCGGTGACGGTGAGCAGCAGAGCGATATGGGAGCCCCTGCAGTAGCTTGCCCAGGACGTCTCCCTCCAGACTTGCGTCACTCGCTGTCTAGATCTAGAATTTCGAATAAGCAAGCACATTAGCCCTGGATTGGGTTTACTGCCAGGCAAGCACTGTCCAGTTTAGTTGGTGTTGCATGAACTTGGCCCTATAAATGGAGTTTTTCTATCAAGAGTAAATGTCACTGGCCACACACACACACAAAAAAAAAAAACAGTTGTTCGTGACATATAAGGAAAACACAGAATTGCCAAACTCAGCAACCAGATCACTATTGGCCTGCGATATGCACCACAAGCCACTCGTGCTATTTCTAGTCGCAGCACCCATGGCAGGCACTTATCACGGCGGCCGCTGAAGTGGCACGTCTTGCCAGATTCTGAGGCGAGCACCATGTTGCAGAATAGCGGAAGAACAGACGTGCCTGTAAGCAGTCGGGGAGGCATGCGCCATATTGTAGTCGAAACCAGGCGAGCCATCGGCAGATGGCGCAGAGATACGCCTCAATTGCGGCTCGCATGTACTGGGCATTTGTGCCTACATTACTTCCTTGCTGCCTCTTAGAATTACCATCCACTGTAGTATGCTGTATTCTTGCACATACATACCTTCTTGACGCAGGGAAGCTCAATGATTGGCCTGGGCGCATACTTGTCCTTCACACCCTGTTTTTGACTTTTCCCCCATTGCTGTGGCAGGTCGGTCGACGACAAGATTTCAAACACTTTTGTGGCATGGATGTACAGGAGCATGGCCACAATGTGTTTGCATTTGTAGCTCCTAAAAATGAAAACAGTGCTACTGTGAAGTAAAGCCTTTAAAATGAAATTCTGAGATATACAAAATCGCAAAAAGCACTCCTTTCGAAGCAATGAGATGACATCACGCCTCCATGTTTACCGTGTTTACATACAAGCCTTAAAATGGTATGGTATAAATTATGGCAGTGGCAGAAGTTAGTGGAAGGTATGGCTCCGACGCACTGATGTCTGCACCACCTTCTCCTGGCATCATGGGTTAATGTAAACCTTTCCCGCATGTGTTTGTCAACCTTCTGGCTTGTCCGTCCGTTCCATCCCCCCCCCCCCTTCCTCCCCCCCCCCCAAATAAAAAAAAAGGGTCGTAGAAGCTGGCATTAGTCACACTGTTCACAGTGGCACCCATGAGGAACCATAAGCCGAGCATACTTGCCCTTTCTAGTTTAATTTGTATGATCAACATAACATTAGACTGGTTTCCTCCAATATGTTTGTAATTCGCTTGCATCGAAGTATCGTTTTCATTTTAGCAAGCTCCACTGAAGGTTCATGCAATGGGAAAGTTGTTGCAGTCCAAGCAATTGACTTTTGCCAGCTTCAGAATAAAATACTCGCACGCTCTGCCTCAGCAGAGGAACCCCCTCTCGAAATATTACCCCTGCGGGACGAGCATGCGAGCTGTGTTAGGGTACATTCTACATTGAAAGGGTGAGGAAAGGGAACTTCCGAAAGCAGGGAAGATCAATTAAGAGTTCACAACATGCGCACCCTGCTTTGCACGAGCATGATGCAGCTGCCACTGTCTTCTCTTTCACCACGATCTCGAGCTCGTGCGGGTCTCTGCTTAAAGCCGATGTTTGCAGCACGAAACCTACAAACGTGCTGTTACTGTCAACTTTTTTTTTTACACTGTACGTCACAACGTACTCAGCTTCCAGTACGGCTTCTCCCTCGAGCAGAAGTCGAGATGTGGCAAACTCCTGTGCCACGTACTCGTTGATACTGGAGAGGGGAAGCGTCACTGCAAAGGAACAATAATAATTCAGACTTGGTTCGCGCAGTTCCGTACGAATGCTTGGAAACAACTCCAGAGCTGTGCTAATTCCTTAGCTTGGACGGAAGCGTCGGTATCGGCGAGCTCCATACCACCACAACGACAACGCGCGCGTGCACAGTTGTCCTCTTGCGCCCTGCTGAATGCGAACTTAACGCTGCTAGATTAAAATTAGATTAAACTAATCAGGACCAACAGACAAAGAATCGCCACACGCTAAAACCAGAACAAATGAAAGTCAGCAAGTACTGCCAGCGCAACCGCGCATCCGCGTTGGACTGCGCGCGCGCTACGAAGTCCTAGGCTTGCTCTCGAACATCTTAAAGCTAATATCTATCAAAAGAGCTTAGGGGGGGGGGGGGGGGGGGGGGGCTGCCATTCAGTTTCACAAAAGCTAATGACACGTCATAAAATTTTAAAGATAATTATCAATCGTCCCTGCTGTAAACTAACAGAAATGTCTCATACGATTACATATAGCGTCGTCTGCTAGCATCCTACTGACTAGGTTACAAAAAGCATCCGCGAGGCGGGGCCACCCAAAGATCTCGTCGCCAATTGTGCTCTACAGGGTCAAGGAATATAACCACTTAGGTTCAACATTTACTCCTGATCTACGACGGAATACCTATTTTGATATTGTTTCCGAAAACACTAGCAAAACAATTGTGGTTCCCGAGGCGAAACCTAGCTAGCTCGACACCTGAAATAAAAATGCTTGCTCATAAAACTTTAGCTGGACATATTATTGGATTTTCCAAAATTGTATGGGATATGCATCTTTTACAAAATTGTATGGGACATACAACATGGGATATGCATCTTTTACAAAATTGTATGGGACATACAACATGGGACATACACCATAACAAATTGTTCTAAACAAGAGGAAATCCAGCGGCGAGCCTCCCGTTTCATCTCTAACAAATATCGCGGCATTGACTCGCCTACTAAACTATGTGAACTTGCCACCCTTCCAGAACTCGAATCGATAACCAAGGTTAATATAGTCCGCTGCAACTCAAGAAGGGAGGGCGAGTGTAAGACACGCCGGAGAGGAGGAAGCAGACGGAACGCTAAACAGAGGTTTCCCCATCTCTTCTCCAGCGTTCCGTCTGCTTCCTCCTCCCCGGCCTGTCTTACGCTCGCCCTACCTTCTTGAGTTGCAACGTACTATAGGTTAAAGTGTTTTTTTTTACAGGTTATTCATAATCACGTTAAAATTCATACATCCGACTACTTTGAAACCCGCAAAAGCGAATCTTCATGGCTTCGCCACAGCATGTTTATTTCAAACCCTTCTGTTCGTAATGCCTGTTTTAAATTCAGTTTCCTCCCTAGAGCAATCAAAGAGTGGAATGTTTTACCCGATAACGCTATGTCATGTACATCTCCCAGTGAAGTTTTAAAATGCATCGAAAATACTGTTTCATGGCCACTACATATCGCGATTTTGCAGTGACACTTTTGTTTTTGTCTGTAAAAGTGAATATCTGTTACTTCTTTTCTTTGATATTTTTTTTGATGCACGCTTTGATTATTAATTGCATAATGTTGCCGTTTTTTATTGGCGAGCTGTTTAGTTGTATATTTATTTATTTCTCTTATTATGTATGTTTTGTTTTTTTATGTTGTGATTTCCACCACTGTAAGCCCCCTCACGGCCAGACCGTATTAATAAATGGAATAAAATAAAAAAAGAATATAGATGACTCGTCACCTGTTTTATAAAAGACTGTATATAGTCTTCTGAACAAATTCAAATTATCACTTCTTAAATACTGCATTACATGGATTGGAGGACCTCGAATGTAAAGGACGCTGCCAATTTATTATATCTGTAGTTTCTACAATTGAACGTAGCCAGATGTGCACGTATGTAACAACAGAAAGTACAAATTAAATTACCCTGGACATGTCTAACGTTGCAACTCTTTTTCCGCGTTTCAATTTCCCCAGTTTCTTTTCCGGCCCTTTCACGTGCAGGGCCGTCGTTACCTAAAGCCGGCTCTGCATGTGACAACTGTTAGAGGCAGTTCTGTTTAGGTTACATCACGTTTTTGTTAGAGGGAGCTGCGCGAGCCAAACTAACCAGATATCTTGACAATTCCAGCGGGAGTTTATACATTATCCTTGTAAACCTGCGTTCAGTCGTCATATGGCGCCCTCTCGGTCCTTTGCGAGTCTTTGAACGAAATCAAGCTGTTCCCCAGCTGCTGGAATGCTCTCTCAAACATCGTGTTGTCACTCGATATATGGAAGGACGAGCAGCATTACATTATCAATCTGAGATGGAGCCGTGCAGAGGGTCCAATACGCAAAATGTTTTAAAGTTTGATTTAATAGAATGACCAAATCGGTCAGGTTGATGTAATATATTTAAATCATTCTCCTCCGGGACAAATCGAATATCCCCGAAGGCTTTAGTAGTTTAATTTATTTTTAGCAAGACTTTATATCGCGTCGTTTTTTGACCGTGACGTAGATGCATGCGGTATTGTCTATTTTTACGAAGAATGCTTACGTCACTGACACACTTTTTACACCGAAAAAATAAAGACAGCTACGCTTTCTTTTCTACAAGATCTAGCTTTTTTTGTTTTATTTAGCGCACTTTACCAGATTCTGAAACTGTAAACCTGAACCTTCATTTAGAACAGACTTTCTGCATAAGGTATAATAGACGGCAGGTACAACCGTTGTATTGATACTGCCTTTCGTATAAACTTGTCTTGATCTCCATAAAAAAAGAGTCTTCTTTTATTTACCGCCCAAACGATCGGTATATAGAAGGCATAGGAAATAGTAGCACGTCGCAAGGACAACTTCACAGCGTCTATTTCGGAATCTTTCATCCCGTTGAAAGTTGGAGCTATTAGCGTGTCGTCAAGGGACCGATGGGACGGGACACAAGATTGTGATGATGTTACATGACGTCACCCGACACGCGTGAAGTGATTATTTGACCACGCGACCCGCCGTAGCATCAACCACATGCCCTCTTGAGCCATAGTGGCGTGCAGTTACATTTATCAGGACGCTAGCCTTCTAAGTTCAGCTGACGGCTGCGTTGGTACGGCAATGGCTACGGCTACGCAACGCAACTCAACTCCGTATTTGTTAAAGGACACATTCTGTATTTATAAAATAAAAAAAATCAACAATAATGCTAATGTTATATATATAGATATATATATTATTTTCACTTTTTACTAAACCGAATTATTTTCGTAATAGACATCCCCCATCCGTGTCGGTATTTCTATTCATGAAAGTAATTCAGCAGTGGTTCGACCATCCCAATGCGTGGTGACCTAAAATTGGAAAATAGGTCGCCCCAAAAGAAAATGAGTCGCTATATCGCTAGGTACCTTCTCATTTAAGAAGGCGTGTAGCTATGGGTTAGAGGTGAGCGAGGTGGCTGTGCAGAAAGTCTTCGATCAATATCGGCACCAAAAACACCCTCATACCGAAAAAAAAAAAAAAAAACACTCCAGGCTTTTTTTTTTTTTTATGCAAATCAAAAGTGTGACAGCCATTGTTTTTTGCACTGAAGTCACATCTGAACTGACGGTACGTGTTCCAACCTGCACAGCAGTGACTGGAGAGACCTGGTACGAAATACGCCGATAAGACAGTGTGGTCAATAGGGGTCTGAGATAAACAGAGTGTGGATAATTTTTTTTCACCCTCGTATTCACACCAACTCAATTCTTTGTCGTCATGCCATTGCGGTGGCGCTGTTGTCGGCCCTGCGCCTTGAGCATGCGCTTTATTTCCCTCTCATTAGGTTTCTGTCCAGGGCTTAAATGCCACCGCACCCTACTCCCACACCTGGTGTGGCAAAGCCCGTGCTTGCTTTTAAAAAGCGTGCTGGTATTAGAGGAAAAGGTAAGGAAATTGAGTGAAACAAAGGAACGCTGATGTTATCCTGCTTCCATGAAATTTTGTTTTTGACTGAATGAAAGTGGACGGCATTCCCGCGTCCTTCGTGCTGTTATACTTTAAATTAGAACTATTCTCTCTAAAACTGGCGGCAATTCGACCGGACGAATAACCTCAAACATTCAGGGTGCTTGAAAGTAAACATCTTCGACAGAAATCTGTCTGGTTTGGGGAACAATTTGAAAAAAAGAAAACTCGAACCAAATGTTTAGAAGCAAAGAGTTCCCAACGTTTGGGGGTCGAATTGACTTTTTCTTCAGGGGTGACTAAAAATCAAATGGGACAGCGCGAGCTTGGACCTCTTCATCTTCTTCTACCGAAATGATGTTTTGTGAACCTGACGCAGGCCATGGACGTAAATAGATGGTAAGGCCCCAATATCCCCCGTTGTGTTCTGGACACACCGGGGAACATTAACAGGTCCCTTGGGGCCTTACCATCTATTTACGTCCATGGCCTGCGTCACGTTCACAAAACATCACCTCGGTAGAAGAAGAAGGAGAGGTCGAAGCTCGCGCTGTCCCACTCCATTCTTAGTCACCCCTGAAGATGGAGTCAAGTCGACCCCGAAACGTTGGGAACTCTTTGTTCCTAAACTTTTAATTTGAGTTTTCTTTTTTTCGAATTGAGGATGCTATGTTTGCGACACTCCACGAGGTACTCGGAGGTCAAGAGGTATAGAATGGTGTTTCGCAATAAACTAATAGAATCTCAGGTTGCCTACATTTCTGTTTTAAGCATTGCACCTTATCTACGTTCCGCATGGTTTACATCTAAAATGAAACTAGTATCCGGAAAAAAAAGCGTTTATATAAGCGAGTGAAAAACTCTAACTTGTAACGCGAGTGGACCTCATGTCACGGGTATGCCTTATGCTGCAAGAAATTGATACAAAAGGCCAAGCAGGATTTCTTTGGCGTTGATGTCTCGAATATGCTATGGTCAAACCCGAAGAAATTTTGGAGGGTTGTAAACCCACATTCTGCAATTGCGCTTACGTACTTGGGTTCTAGTGACACCTTACTTGGTAGATCTCAGTTGACCGACCAGTTCAACAAGCTTTTCAGCAGTGTTT